AGTAAAATGTGGCTGTGAAATTAAAAACTACAGCTTCATGACATCACAAAGTGGAACAGAGCATTTTGAGCTTCAGAGATACAGACAAAGGATCACTCAAACATGTGAATGAACAAAAAAAACAAAACAAAACAGAGCTCCAGGTGTGTTTTGGAGGAGATAAGAGCATTGTAACCTGTCCAAACGTTCACAATCGCACCGAACCTTTAAGACGGCGAAACGAGCCTCGGATCCGGCCGCGACGTTACATTGAAATATACGGAGGAAGATTCTGGAAAGGGTGATGGCTGTTCTGGGAAATATATGTGTACGCAAATGAGAAAAACAGCAGAGCAGTATTCGCTGGGTGAGGATTAATTTTTGAATCCCATTTGAATTGATTGCATTGTGCTGCCAAGATATATTCTGCAGCCAAGAAAGTCTAATGAAAATTTAGTGAAAATTTTAAAATATGCAATTTGTATGGACCAAATGCACGCCGATACGAAATTGCACTCCAGCCGAACAATAATTAGAATTAAACAGAGGGATATAGGTACATGTGCAGCTGCTGTTGGGATCTGGAGCTCCAATCCCACCTTTGTTTCGCCGCTTTCTTAAAATGTGCACCGTGGAACTTTTCTGGTGAAGGAGAACGCTTTTCTCTGCGTAGATGTTATTTTTTTTGTCTGGAATGTTTCGCAGTATGGCATTAAACCTTTCTACGAAGTATTCAACTTTATTTTTTACAATTTTTCTATCTGTTTTAAGTCTGTAAAACCCCTCAGCACAAACTTTATACACTTTTCTCACACTTCACAATCCTTTTTTACATTCTTCTTAAAACTTATCGCCGCCCGTCGTCCTTTTGTTATTTTTTTCCTTCTTCGAAACAAAGATTTATTTATCCCCTAATGGAGCCGACAGCGCAGAGTCCTGCACAAGTCCGAGATTATATCAAATTTTTGCGCTGCCAACGCCGCGGACTGAACCAGGACTAAACCAGGACTGAACTAGGACTGAACCAGGACTAAACCAGGACTGAACCAGGACTAAAACAGGACTAAACCAGGTCTGAACCAGGACTAAAACAGGACTGAACCAGGACTAAAACAGGACTAACCTAGGACTGATTCCAGGACTGAAGACGAGGACTAAACAAGGACTAAACCAGGACTGAACCAGGACTGAACCAGGACTAAAACAGGACTAAAACAGGACTAAAACAGGACTAAAACAGGACTAAAACAGGACTGAACCAGGACTGAACCCGGACTAAACCAGGACTAAAACAGGACTAAACCAGGACTAAAACAGGACTAACCTAGGACTGATTCCAGGACTGAAGACGAGGACTAAACCAGGACTAAACCAGGACTAAATACAGGGCTAAAACCGGACTAAAACAGGACTAAAACCAGGACTAATCCTAGGACTGATTCCAGGACTGAAAACGAGGACTAAACCAGGACTGAACCAGGACTAAAACCGGACTAAAACCGGACTAAACCAGGACTAACCTAGGACTGATTCCAGGACTGAAGATGAGGACTAAAACAGGACTAAACCAGGACTGAACCCGGACTAAACCAGGACTAAAACAGGACTAAACCAAGACTAAAACAGGACTGAAGACACCAGGACTAAACCAGGACTACCAGGACTAAACCAGGACTTAACCAGGACTTGGATTGTCTGAACACATTCTGTACTGTACAGGAGACACGGCACAGAGGAGATTGATTGACAGCGGTCTACAGTCTGTTGTTTTGAAAGACGTGGAGCTCTGGAATGAATGAATTATGCATTAAATTTGGTTTGTTTTAATTTATATTTTGTCTCTTATATTTACAGTAAGTCGTAAATGAAATTGTGAATGCAAACTTGCTTTTCTTTCTTGGAATTCTGTCATTGTTTAATAGTTTGTTTAATAATGTTTAGTTTTGTTTTGTTGTGCTGAAAAATGACTGAATAAAAAAACTACAACCACAATTTTGTGTAATATCAGACTTTAAAAGGTGCACTGTGTAACTTTTCTGGTGGAGGGTCCTTCAAATGCTTGTTTAGCATTAAAATCTTAAAACTTAAAACAAATATTTAAAATCTCTCAATAAATACAAATACGTGACACCACCAGGCCAAGTTACAGGTCAGATCTGCGGAGAGACAAGCCCACTCACAGCACAAATGCACGCTTTTCAAGGTATTTCTGAGCAATAAAAACACTTGTAATTGAATCAGTGCAAGAGATAAGAGATAGATGTCGTTAATGCCGTAGTGTGGAACATTCTGGGCAAAGCTAAAACATACAAACCCTCCGTCAGAAAAGTTACACCAAAAAAAAAACAACCTTCAACTATTGCAATTGATACTAGAACAAAATATCCATAGATTATAGTATCTGAGAATTGTTGTATCATGTCGTCACTGTAATGCTCACAACAACTAGCATGCAAACAGCACACTTTCTGATTCTCTGACAATAAAACTCTTAAAAACTGCAGACAGCGCAAAACAAGTCTTTAAATGTCTCTAAAACTGATTTCTTAATTATTGCAAGAAAAACCGAACACATTTTTACAACTTCTTGAAACCGGAGCGAAGTTTCACCGTCACTGTAATGCTAAGAACGACTAGCATGCTAACAGCGCACTTCCTGATTCTCTGACAATAAAAACACTTTATAATTGCAGCCGCACATAACAAGTCTCTGAGTGCTTAATTATTACACGAAAAGCAAAACGCTCTCTACAGTTTTCAGAGACCCGAGTGGAGTTTTACCGTCACAATAATGCAAACAACAACTAGCATGCCAACACCACACTTCCTGGACATCAGACAATAAAACACTTAAAAATGTAGACGACAAGCAAATAACAAGTTTGTAAATGCTTCCCTGCTTTCTTGATGAAAAGGAGAACGCTTTCTACGACTGTCAGAGAGCAGAGTTTTGCCGTCACAGTAACAATTAGCATGCTAACAGCACACTTCCTGATTATCTGACAATAAAACGCTTAATAATTACAGACAGCACATCACGAGTCTCTAATCACTTCCCTGCCTTCTTAATTATTACTTGAAAAACAGAACGCCTTCTACATCTTTAAGAGTAATGCAAACAACAACTAGCATGCTAACAGCACACCGCACTTCCTGAACCTCAGACAATTAAAGGCTTGAAAATGTAGACAGCAAGCAAATAACAAGTCTCTAATCGCTTTCCTGCTTTCTTGATGCGAAAGTGAACGCTTCCTACAACTTCCAGAGAGTTTTGCCATCATAGTAACAACTAGCATGCTAACAGCACACTTCCTGATTATCTGACAATAAAACGCTTCATAATTGCACATAAAGTCTCTCATTGCTTCCCCGCTTTCTTGATTATTACATGAAAATCAGAACGCTTTCTACAACTTTCAGAGACCGGAGCGGAGTTTTACCGCCACAGTAACGCAAACAACAACTAGCATGCTAACAGCACACCACACTTCTCATTTCTATTTCAAGAGCTGTAAATAGACAAGACACATTTTGCTCCACTACCTGAAAAAGTATCAGCGAGTGGGTTTCGTGTGAATAAACATCTGGGCGTCGGGCGACTTTTTACAACCGTCATTTGGATAAACGTTCGAATGTTTTTAAGCATCTGCTGATCAAATAAAATATTATTATCAGCCCAAAACGAGGATCTAGTTTTGATAATAGATCAGGTATAGATAGGCACGTGAAACATTTGTGGGAAAAGTGAAACAAACTCGAGGACCATCGTAAACCTCACCGAGAAAAAGGACAAGGGTTGACTAGACTCTAGACTCTTTATCAGCTGTATAAATAGGCTGTGTGCATAGGCCGTGTTCCGCAGTGTGGACTAGACTCTAGACTCTTTATAGGCTGTGTTAATAGGCTGTGTTCTATAGTTTGGAGGAGGGACTACAGGGTGTATATATAGGCTATGTAGATAGGCCATGTTCTGGAGTGTGGACTATACTGTGCAGTGTTTATCGGCCGTTTCTATAGGCTGTGTGCATAGGCCGTGTTCTGCAGTGTAAACTATACTGTAGATTCTTTATAAGCTGTATATATATAGGTTTTGTATATAGGCTGTGTGCATAGGCCATGTTCTGCAGTGTAGTCTACACTATAGACTCTTTATAGGCTGTATATATAGGCTACAGTCTGTATATATGGGTTTTGTATATAGGCAGTGTGTATATAGGCCATGTTCTGCAGTGTTGACTAGACTATAGACTTTTTATAGGCTGTATATATAGGCCATGTGTGCATAGGTCGTGGAGTGTTCTATTCTGTAGATGTTTATAGGCTGTGTATATAGGCCGTGTGTGTGTATAGGCCGTGTTCTGCAGTAGTAGGCTGTATATACGTTGTGTTTATAGGCTGTATAGCTAGGCCGTGTGTGCATAGGCCGTGCAGTGTTCTATATTGTAGATGTTTATAGGCTGTATACATAGGCTGTTCTGCAGTGTAGGCTATACTGTAGACTGTTTAGGTTGCATAGATAGGCCGTGTGTGCATAGGACGTGCAGTGTTCTATATTGTAGATGTTTATAGGCTGTATAGATAAGCCGTGTGTGCATAGGACGTGCAGTGTTCTATTCTGTTGGCTGTGTTTATAGGCTAGACTGTAGACTGTATATAGGCCGTCTGTGTATAGGCCGTGCAGCGTTCTATTCTTTAGGCTGTTTGTAGACTGTATACATAGACCGTGTGTGCATAGGCCGTGTTCTGCAGTGTTCTATACTCTAGACTGTTTATAGGCTGTATATATAGGCCACGTCCTGCAGTGTGGACTAGACTGTAGGCTGTTTATAGGCTGTGTTTATAGGCTGTATACATAGGCCGTGTGTGTTCTATTCTGTAGATGTTTATAGGCTGTGTGCATAGGCCGTGTGTGCATAGGCCGTGTGTGTTCTATTCTGTAGATGTTTATAGGCTGTGTGCATAGGCCGTGTGTGCATAGGCCGTGTGTGTTCTATTCTGTAGGCTGTCGTGGGCTTCAGCACCTGTGATAAGGGACATTCTTTTGCCAGAGAGCTTTGATTCATGTCTTTGAGTAACTCCTTGAGGGCGTTTCTTACTGTGGAGTGGCTCCACTGCTCGGGCGGCAGATCCTCCAGCTTAGGACAACTGAGAGACACAAAGAAAGAGAAGAAGAAGAAGAAGAGAGAGAGAGAGAGAGAGAGGGAGGGAGAGAAAGAGGAGATGTTAGATTCATAACAGGAGATCACGGTCGGTCTGTGCGATGTCATTTTACATAAAGTGATAAGAGTCAGAGGTGGAACATAACGAAGTAAAAGTAGTAAAGTTCTGAAGTATTTGTTTTCAGTATCTGGAATAATCCATGTGTCATTCCTTTATTTGTGTTTTTCAAAATAAAACCAAAAATAAGAAAACTAAAATCCTTATTTGTCTACAAAATCAAAATGAAAAAAACAGATAATGATTTGTTTTTTTCAGTTTTTGATTTTGTGTTTAAATGAAAAATGGAAAAAAAAAGGATAATGGACGTTTCCTGTTTCCGTGACGTAAACTGTGACGCCGGACAAAACCAGGACTAAATCAGGACTGGTCTGGTCCAAGTCTCAGTCCTGGTTTCAGTCCCGGTCTGGTCCTGGTCTGGTCCCAGTCTCAGTCCTTGTCCTGTTCCTGGTTTCAGTCCCGGGCTCAGTCCTGGTCTCAGACCAGATCCTGATCCCAGACTCAGTCCTGGTCTGGTCCTGGTCTGGTCCTGGTCTGGTCCCAGCCTCAATTCTGGTCTCAGTCCTTGTCTCAGTCCTGGTCCTGTTCCTGGTCTCAGTCCTGGTCTCAGTCCCGGTCTGGTCCCGATCTCAGTCCTGGGCCAGTTCTGGTCTCAGTCCTTGTCCTGTTCCTGGTCTCAGTCCTGGTCTCAGTTCTGGTCTGGTCCTGGTCTCAGTCCCGGTCTGGTCGTGGTCTGGTCCCAGTCTCAGTCCTGGTCTGGTCCCGGCCTCAGTTCTGATCTCAGTCCTGGTCTCAGTCCAGATCCTGATCCCAGACTCAGTCCTGGTCTAGTCCCAGTGTAAGTCCTGCTCTCAGTCCCGGTCTGGTTCCGGTCTGGTCCTGGACCTAGTTTAGTCCTGGTTCAGTCCTGCTTCAGTCCGTATGTGGTGCAAAAGTCCGACATCACAGTTTAAATCAAACGGTCGTTTTCCATTTTTTCCATTTTTCATTTAAACACAAAATCAAAAACTGAAAAAAAAAAATCATTTTCTGTTTTTTCATTTTAATTTTGGAGACAAATAATGAAGAAAATAGTTGTTTTTAAAATTTTCTTATTTCTGGTGTTATTTCGAAAAACAAATGAACAGATGACACGTTTTTTTTTTTTTTTTTTTTTTTTTTTCAGACTATAAGACTCACAAAAAATCCTTCAATTTTCTCAAAAATCGACAGTGTGACTTGTGTGTTAATTCTGGTTGTGTTTACGACCTCGAACAGACTTTATTTTGTATTTTATAATCCGGTGCACCTTTAGTCCAAAAAATACGGTAGGTCTAATTTACAAATATAATAATGACCTTTTTTTTAAAAACTTTTTTTAATAACATTTAAAACCGTTTTTAACACAAAAACATAATAACAAATATCATAATTTTTGTGTTATCATTAATAAATTATTCAGATTCTCACCAATTTTTTTGCAATATTTAGTTGAAAATTAAACTTTTTTGATTCCTGCTTTCAGAAATACTAAACTAAAAATACAGAAGTGACTTTTGTTAAAAATTGGCGAGTTAATCTGAGAAATAAACAGTTTTCAGAGACTCGGTGGAAGAAGCAGATTGTGTAGAGTTTGTTCCGGTTGGTGCAGTCAGAGTGTTTTTAAAGTTAAAGAGATTTAAACGGAGAAAAACACGGCAAAAAGAAATCAGCGTGTTTCCTCTGAACGAGCGAGAGAAAACAGAAAAGTGTCGTCTGATGGGATTTTCATGTGTTACTAAGACGTCAGCTCCGCTCGCAGTTCAAACCAAATGTTGAGTGTGAAAAACCAATAACTGATGTTTCCCCCACAGCAGCAGACGCAAGACACGAGAGAGACTTTATTACTCTGCCGAGAGAAACGAGAGAGAGAAACAGAGACAAGAGAGAAACGACGAGAGAGCAACAGACACAAGACACGAGAGAGACTTTATTACTCTGCCGAGGAGAGAAACGAGAGAGAGAAACGACAAGAGAGAAACGAAGAGAGAAACAGCAACAGACACAAGACACGAGAGAGACTTTATTACTCTGACGAGGAGAGAAACGAGAGAGAGAAACGACAAGAGAGAAACGACAAGAGAGAAACGAGAGAGAAACAGCAACAGACACAAGACACGAGAGAGACTTTATTACTCTGCCGAGAAGAGAAACGAGAGAGAGAAACAACGAAGAGAGAAACGACAAGAGAGAAACAGAGCAGACGCAAGACACGAGAGAGACTTTATTACTCTGCCGAGGAGAGAAACGAGAGAGAGAAACAACGAGAGAGAAACGACAAGAGAGAAACAGACGCAGACGCAAGACACGAGAGAGACTTTATTACTCTGCCGAGGAGAGAAACGAGAGAGAGAAACAACGAGAGAGAAACGACAAGAGAGAAACAGACACAAGACACGAGAGAGACTTTATTACTCTGCCGAGAGAGAAAACGACGAGAGAGAAAACGACAAGAGAGAAACGACAAGAGAGAAACAGAGCAGACGCAAGACACGAGAGAGACTTTATTACTCTGCCGAGGAGAGAAACGAGAGAGAGAAACAACGAGAGAAGAAACGAGAGAGCAACAGACACAAGACACGAGAGAGACTTTATTACTCTCTGAGAGAGAGAGAGAAAACAAGAGAGAAAGACAAGAAGAGAACGAGAGAGACAACAGAGCACAGACGAGACACGAGAGAGACTTTATTACTCTGCTGAGAAGAGAAACGAGAGAGAGAAACAACGAGAGAGAAACGACAAGAGAAATGACGAGAGAGCAACAGACACAAGACACGAGAGAGACTTTATTACTCTGCCGAGAAGAGAGAGAAACGACGAGAGAGAAACGACGAGAGAAACAGCAACAGACACAAGACACGAGAGAGACTTTATTACTCTGACGAGGAGAGAGAGAGAAACAACGAAGAGAGAAACGACAAGAGAGAAACGACGAGAGAAACAGCAGCAGACGCAAGACACGAGAGAACTTTATTACTCTGACGAGAGAGAGACGGAGAGAAACGACGAGAGAGAGAAACGACAAGAGAGAAACGACAAGAGAGAGCAACAGCACCAGATGCAAGACACAAGAGAGACTTTATTACTCTGCCGAGAAGAGAGAGAGAAACGACGAAGAGAGAAACAGAGAAACGACAAGAGGGAGAAACAGACGCAAGACACGAGAGAGACTTTATTACACTGCCAAGGAGAGACGACAAGAGAGAGAAACGACAAGAGAGAAATGAAAGAAAAGAGAGCAACGAAGAGAGAGCAAGAGAGCAACAGCAAGAGAAAGAGAGCAACGACAAGAGAGAGAGCGACGAGAAGAGAGAAAGAGAGGAAGAGAGGGAGAAAGGAAGAGAGAGAAAGAGAGAAAGATTGTGGCCAACCAAGAACCACAACAACGAGAGAGTAACAGAGAGAGAGAAAGGGAAGAGAGAGAAAGAGAGAGACAATCAGACAGAGAGAGTGAAGAGAGAAATAGAGAGAAAGAAAGAGAAAGAGAGAGACAAACAGAGAGAACAAACAAGTAAGAGAAAGTGAAAAAAAGAGAGAGAAATGAGACGGAGAGCGAAAAAGAGTGAAAGAGAGCGCGGTAGCAAGTAGAGATACACCGATCCAGGTTTTTCTGTTCCGATACCGATGTCGATACTTTGGCTTTAAGCATCTGCCGATATTCACTATGAACCGATACCAGAGCAGAGCTGGAAATATAATGTGTGTAAAGGAGTATTTGTTTACAGTAAAAGTGTGTTTTATAATTGTTATTTATCATTTAAAATAATTACAGTATAAATCTTTTTTGGACCAACAGTCGTCAGAAAATCGTCGTATTAAACCGATTTATAAATCAAAATGAGATATCGTCTGAATCGATATCTTGGAACCGATATCTGATCTATCAAAACGTTCAATTTTGTATCAGAGAAGTAGAGATGTGCTGATCCAGGGACCCTCACACACACACACACACACACACACACACACACACACACACACACACACACACACACACAGACACACACCAACCCCGAACACACAAACACACACACACACACAGACACACACACACCCGACACACCAGGCCCTTACACACACACACACACCAGGCCCCACACCACAACACACAACACACACACACACACACACACCTCGACACACCAGGCCCTTTACACACACAAACACACCAGGCCCTTTACACACACACACACACACACACACACCAGGCCCTTTACACACACACACACCAGGCCCTTTACAACACACACACAACACACACAACCCACACACACCACACACACACACACACACACACCACAGGCCACACACACACACACAGACAGACACACACACACACACACCACACACACACACACACACACACACACACACACACAGGACACACACACACACACACACACACACACACACACACACACACACAACACACACACACACACACACACACACAGACAGACACGCACACACAACACAGGTCCTTTACACACACACACACACACAGACAGACACACACACACACACACACACACACACAGGTCTCTGTTCTTGTGCAGGTCACACACACACAGATTTCATTTGGCGCGTGAGGCAGATGCATCTGGAGATTGGAGCCTCCCTCACTTCCCCTCCTCCTCCTCCTCCTCCTCCTCCTCCTCTTCCTCCCTCTGCCCAGATCCTCCACTTCTCTCTCTCCTCTCTCTCTCTTTTCTCTCTCCTTTCTTCTCTCTCTCCCCATCTGTCTCTACTCTCTGCTCTCTTCTTTCCACTCTCTTCTTCTCTTTCTTTTGTCTCCATCCTTCTCTCTCCTCTCTCTCCTCCCTCCCCTTTCTTTCTTTCCTCTCCTCTCTCTTCCTCTCTCTCCATTTCGCTCCATTTCCTCTCTCTTTCCTCTTCTCTTTTCCTCTCTC